AAACAATATAAACAGTCATCAGTTTTCACTTAACTAAGCTTTCACAGTACTGTAATAATTCAAACCATTACCAAAGATATGTCGCGAACTATGATATCTATTGTTGTAACATTTAAAAAAGTCTCCTAATCTTTTTCAATATCATTTTCTTAAAACTTCCAAACCAGATAAAGAATAATATATCAGATATAAGATACCAGTAAATTTCATATTTGAAGAGATAGTTAGCAAATATATTGTATATGAAATCTATATATCTTAGTTTATACATACTCGTATTTATGTTAAAATGCTTTCTAGAAGAATAAGGGCTTTGGCAAGAATGATCGAAAATTTTACAAAAACACCATCAATCTTTTAAAGCTAAATATAAAAACTTTTATGACATTAGACAAAAAATTATTTAAAATAGTGAAGTAGTATAAAACTAAGCTTGAAAAACCCTTTTTAAGATATTGAGAATTTCTCAAATAAAAAAACTTCTCAGTCGTACTTTTCAGTATCTCTATTAGCATTGAAAATGAGTCTCCTTCTTCTACATGAGTTCTATGGTTTTATAAACTATAAACTATATAATTTACAATTTATAAATATCACTCCTGAAAACCTGAATATGCTACTATATTATACATTATTGTGTTAATTAAATATACAAATCTAAACCACAGTGTTTACGTGGTGCATGTTACTGGGTTACTATGTATCTGCGTTGTATTCCAAATCATCAATTAATATCGTACATTGAATTTTTCATTGACATGTATATGCATATCCATAGCCATATATATAAGCAACATATATTGTATAATAAAAATATATAAAACAAATATCCAGCATATATAAATATGTTTACAGAATAATGGGTCATCGTAATCATTAGCTCAGGACAAACAGTTACATTATCTCAAGCATGTTGATTGGAATTATATATTTATAAAAAAAAAGAAAGAAAAAAATTTAATAGATAACATAACTGCATTGAAGAGTAGAAATAATTATCAGTTTCAGTTTATGGTTTTTTTTTACTTGATTCAAAACTAATCAATGCATTTCTTATGAATATTTTTAAATGAAAACATAAACTAATTGAAAAAAAGTTGAAAGAACTGGAATATTGATAATTTTTAACCTAGTGCATGATTGACCAGATTACGTGCTTCGAAATGGTTCACTATAAAAATTTTATTCACTTCATTTTTATAGCAAATCAATTATTTTAAAGTAATAAAAAAATTTAATATAAATTAAATTACAGACATAAACTAAATATCAACTTCAGTCTTTATAGTGTAAAATTGAAGACACTTCAAAAGTTTATTCGATTACGATTACGAGTACGTACAAAAAGTAAACAAACTAATTTAAAATGACACTGACAGTTGCCAATTGAGAATCGTAGTCGAAAGTACAGTCGAAGTAGAAAAAAACAGATAAAAATAAATAATTTTAAATTTGAAAATGAGAACAAATTGTGAATATATTCATTTGCTAAGACAAAAAATGGGGTTCTATTATTTAGTTATTAAGGAGCACTGAAAGTTCATTGAACTTGAACATATACTTATAACATAGTATGTATCGTTAGTTTTTGCATGGAGTTAAGTACACCCGAAGAAGAAGTATGGATTGTACATTTATACGAATATGAGCTATTTTTACTAAAAATATTAAAATATTTCATCCAAAATCCGATATAATTTCTAAAATGTTCTTTATTTCTTATATATTTCTTAATATGTGCTGTATATTTGTTTTGTTTTAAAAATTTTTTTCTTCTAAGTAATCACATCCCATTTTAATTAAAAACTAATTTCAAAAAACTATTGTTAGGATCATCATATCAACATTGGCAGTTACCAATGTTTTACCTTTCTTCAGCTTTGGTCGGTTTAATAATAATTTTAAATTCAAATAAATATTAAAAACAATATAATCCATAATTTGTTTCCAAAGTTGATTATCCGCACCTTTGCTATATGCAGATTATACAATATTATACAGTTTATTATTACATTATACAGATTATTATATTACACAGTTTTATATATTTATTATTTCTATCTATCTATCTGAATTTAATGTCACATCAAAAATCTTCTCTGTATATTCAAGCTTTATCTTTATCTTATCTAAATCTTCTTTATCTTTGTCATGCGAAATCATTATAACTGTCATGCTATCTCATTATTTTAATTAAAGCCCTTTGACAAATTAAACATATACTTTTCACATTTGTATAAGTCTTGACTTCCATTGTTATTGAAACAATTTCAGCCACCCAATTGATAATTTGGATTCATAAAAGTGCTGAAAAATTTTTTAACTTTAACACAGACAAGGAAATTTATAAACATTTCTTAATCAATTGATTTTACCTTACTTAACAATAATAATATATGGTTTTCGATGATCGCTGTACTGCGGTGCAGTCACTTCCACGACCTTTTTTGCAATAGTATGGAAATTATAATAGATGGTGTTATTTCTATAGTGGAGTTATATCCTCATATGTACCTAAACTAGATAAATTTTCGAATGTAGTTTCGAATGTGTTTTTCGGTTTTATGGCTTCTATATTGGAAAAAAAATTAATGTATCCCCGTCGTCCAAACTTGCATCGATCGGATATTTTGCTTGCTTCTCAAAGGCAGATACTTGCGTATTGGTATTGCACTCTGTAATACTAACATACTACTTTACAGAAACTAATATAAGATTTCATACTAATTACAATTTTTAACTAATATCAAGTTAATAATTCACAATTTTGTTAAATTTATTCAGTTTTTGTAATTGAATTCCAAACTTTTTTATTCAACGCCAAATAACGGTGCTCAACTTATATATAGTTATTACAATTTAATTTATTTATATATCAATATATTTTTCTATCCATATCGAAATAATAGGGTTCTTCTATGCTAATGAACCCTAACTTATTTGTTATGAAAATGAAAAATCGTCCAACAACTTTTTCTTTCTTTTCGCCAAAGAACATAAAAATTGATCCAAAGAAATTGCGGGCCTCAAACAAAGACGGTTTCCTTTGCTTTGCGCCTGAACATGCCACAATAAACGGCAAAAGTTGAACGCGTTTCGCAGCGTCATGTGTCATATGATATGTTGCATTAGTTGCACAAAGTCGTTTGCAGCATTGTTGCTGCAGTGTGCCATGATGCCACATCCTCATGCGTGATGGTGCATCAATTGAAATGTTGCATTTGTAATTGCAGTTCCCAATAAAGTTGAGTCACATTCAATTCAATTGAGTCGAGTTCAGTTCTGTTAAAAGATGTGTCTTCTTAAATTAGTTGCGGAGCCACATTGGTCCGTGCGTCTTCCTTATTTCTTTCAACATTTCTTTTATAGAGTATGTGAGTGTAAATATATATGTGTACTTTCAATTCAATATGGCTAGGCTGCATTAGTATATATATTATGCAGATTCTTATCGTCAGTGTACAAATAAAACACTTAAAACTAAACGAGATTGCGTTGGAGAAATTGATTTTAATCATTAAAATTGAATTGAATTGAACTGGAATGAAATGAATTGAATTGAGTTGAGTTGAAAAGAAAACAAACTGCTTTTTTGTCACTTATTCGAATGAGATTGTATTTACCATATAAATTGCTTTGTATACACTTATTGAGAATAAGAAAAATGGAACGTCAAATCAGGAATATAATATATAGTGTAAAGGTATAAAGACCCAAAATCGTCATGAGCAAATGTACAAATAAGGTCAGTGGACGAAGTTTTGAAATATATTAATGGCAAAATAATTGATACCAACACAATATTGTTTTAATTCAAATCAAGAAACGTTTAAACTGTTGTTGTTTTTTGTCAACCAAAATCCATTAACACCTCCTCCTGTGAAAACTGATGGATAAAAGATACAACTTACAAAGAAAATTAAATTAGACGAATAATGTATTCTGAAGTAAACAAAAATATTTCTTATTTACTTTTCATTTTTTTCGCTTTTAAGAAAATATGTATATTTTATAAATTTCCAACATTAACTTTCAAAAACAAATTAATTAATTAATCACATATTGTAAACATCATCTTTCAATGCCCTTTATTTGCCAAATTCAGTTTATTTTAAGTTTAAGGAAGGCAATTGACTTGCTTTCAACGCTAATAAATTAATTTAATGACTCAATTTTGAACACTTGAGACGAACATAAAACTAACTCTCTTCAGAAGTTTATTGCACATATATTCCTTCGATAATTTCAGCAGTCAAAAAGGAATTACCAAATGAACAGACAGACTTACTTTTATTAAGAAAAACTGCATTTGGATCTTCCAGTTGCGCAATAATTTTAAATTAATTAGCAAAGAAGCAGTTTTATGTCAATATTTTAAGCTTTTAAGTAGACAGTTCTGTAAATTGAAAAATTTAATAATTTCTTCAACCTCAATTAAGTACACGATCTTAATTATTTTATTCCGAATATGAATTAAAAACCATATCAAAACTGAAGAAAGAGAAGACTGGTACTAAATCGTTATTCATTCAATCTTTTTGTACAAATTCATTTCCTTCAATTTTGTTCATATTAATGAATTTTATTCTAAAGTTATAATTTTAAATTAAATAAAATATTGAAAAATCTATTCTACGATCGTTTGAATCACCATCTTTATTAAAATTACAACTTTCATCATATATCTTTTGATGCATATCTATCTATAGGTATGGATAAGAGTATACTGAATTTAAATCACTAATTAATAAATTATTTAAATATACAGATATCTTCCATACAAGTTCAACGTAATACTGTAATTATAATATAAAATTCAGATCAACCTTAATCAAATCTTTTATACAATCTGTTCTCTAAAAGAAAAAAATTAAGAATTAATGCATAAATTACAATATTAGGTATAAATCATATAGAACCAAAAAAAAAAATTGACAAAATAATTTTGTAAAGATTTATTAAACAAATATAAACAACATTTTCATTGAAATATATGCGTTAGATATATGAAAGCTACAAAAAAAACATTAGTCTGTACATGTTTCTTCAGGTTTTTCGGTTTTTTCTCCATCCAACATAGAAGGATAATAAATCTCAGTCATGGGCACAAAGGTTTCCTTTATAATTTGTTGATTTGTCCAACGTAGTATATAATGTGGTCCTCCTGGTTTATCATTAGTACCTGATCTTCTGGCTCCACCAAATGGTTGTTGACCACAAAGCGATCCTGTTGACTTATCATTCAAATTTAAATTACCTGCTACTAATTTAAAACTGTTCACTGCTTGTTTTAAAAACTCTTCATCTTTAGCAAACACAGAGCCAGTTAAGCCATATGGAGATCGATTGATATGACAAATTATCTCTTGCAACTTATCGTCTTCGTATACATAAACCGCTAATACTGGTCCAAATATTTGATCTACGAATATCGGTTCCGTCAAATCTTTAACCACAACAATGGTTGGTTCTACGAAGTATCCGTTCACGTTTGAAAAATCTCCGCCAGCTATAACTTCGCATTTTTTATTCATTTTTGCGTCATATATATACTTTGCCGAACGCAGGAATGAATTGTCATTGATAACAGCAGATAGGAATGCCTTTCTATCTAAAACATCACCAACCTTGAGTTTCTGCGTTTTCTCTATTAAGGCACACTTGAGTGTTGATTCCCATAGTGATGCCGGAGCGAATAGGCACGAGCATGCTGCATTTTTCTGACCACTGTACTCAAAAGCTGAGCGTATGGTGGCTGCCACAACTGTTTCCACATCTGCTGATACATGTACAAAGTGAAAATTTTTACCGGAACATTCACCAATCATGCGTGGATAGTTCTTATACCATCGAATATGACTAGCCACTTGCTTATAAAATTTATTAAAATGGTGTTGTTTCCCAGTAAAATTGATAGCGGCAAGATTTTCATTGTATGTGGCAATCTTTGCAAAAATTTCTGCATTAGCCGGTACAAAATTAACAACACCATCTGGCACACCAGCTTGTCGCATAATATCGAATACACGATAGTTTGACAGCATGGCTAGTTCGGAAGGTTTCCAAACAACGCAGCTACCCATAAGCGCTGGTGTAAAAGCTTGATTACCGGCAATTGAGGTAAAATTGAACGGACTCATTGTGGCCACGAAACCCTCTAATCCATGAAACTTGACATGATTTTTCACGCATTCTGGTTTATCAGTTAATGGCTCATAACTCATTATTTTTTTAATAAAATGTGTATTCATACGAGTGAAATCAATCAATTCGGCGGTATCGAGCTCAGCCTGAACAATAGTTTTAGATTGTCCAAGCATTATATTGGCCACCAAATCAGCACGAAAAGTGGTTCCCATCATATGTGCAGCACATTCCCAAATAGCAATGCGATCACTAAATGATTTACTATTCCAGTCAAAGTATGCCTTTGTTGCAACATGAATTGCCTTTTCTATAAGTGGTCCATCGGCAAGGTAGTATTTGGCCACCTTTAGTTTGTGATTATGAGGCATTACCTGGTAACGTACATTTTTAGTTTTATGTTCTTCTCCATTGATAACAATTGGAATTTCTGTACATGCGCACGAAACAGTTTCAAGCATTTTTTTTAAATCGTTCCATTCTTTTGAGTCCTCAGTATAATCCAATGGCGTTTCGTTGTAAGTAGTAACGTCTTCAAACTTCTCAGAAGTCACAACTGAGCTTACTTTTCGTAAATGCAAAGAGGAAAGAATTTTTGTGCCTAAACACAATTTTAATGTATTGGACAACATTTTGTGAAAGTTTTGTGGAACTAAATTGTTACTTTACAGAAATATATTTAAAATCCTTTATAAAAATTTTTTTGTTTGAAGAAAAATTATTTAAAACACTTTGCTTGCTTTGGCCAAACAGACATTAAAACTTTCTTGTACTTAGTTCCATTTTAAAAACTTCAATGAAAGAAGAAAAAGTGAAAGATTGTAGAATTCGTTATAGTCAACTTTTATCAGAGGTCTGGAATGTAAATACGTATGTATCTGAGTATTGAGTTTTTTTATTCAATAGATATATAAGCCATGCGCTAGAGATCGAAATTTAATTTTTAACTAATTGAGTGCGATAAAAGGTTTTCTGTTAACTCAAAAATTCAAGTGTTTTAGTTGGATGAAAACTTGAATTTTTATGTACTTTCATAGAGACTTGCCGTATTTTACATAAAATTTGAAGCACGTAGCAAAAAGTAACTATCTGCCACTTAGTTATTTCTTTACATTTATAATTTAATATTTAATTTTATAATATATTATTAATTTTATAGTTATTTATTATTTAAACCAGATTTATTTTTTCTGGTACATGTTACATATGTTGTAATCTAAAAAACCCATTGAATCAACTACTATCATATAATCTCTTTAACAAATTGTTACATATAGTTTCGTTTAGATAATTTTCTTATTAATCAACTTGAAGAAAATATGGCTCTTCGCAATACATGGATTTCCTGAACACAAAAAATGGGGATCTAAAGCGTTGGATTAAGCTTTATTCGATTTAATCCGTTATTCGAATTTAATTCCCAAAACATATCAAGTTTCATGAAAATTGTTATGACGATAAAACTTAGTTCCGTAGGTGTAACTATACCATTAAAACTCCTGCTAGAACTCCATAGCTTTATTAAGAGTATAATATAACTTGGCACAAAAGATTAATGACATTTCTGTTCTATTACAAAATACTCTTTAATAAATGCAGATACATTTTGAACAGCCAAGTGTGAAATTCTTACTGTTTGAAAATTACCTCAATAAAATAATATATTAAGAAAAATTTCTTTGTTCTCCAAAATAGAAACTATAAGTAGAAAATGAATAATGGAAGGGAAACTTATTAATTTTCATTTATTTTTATTTTTTTTACAAAACAGAAACATATTTTTAAAGTTTTTAATTTTTATTTTTGTCTGCCTCAAAATTAAAGAATGTCTAATTTTATGATTTATAAATAATTGCAAAATAGTGAAAAATGCATTTTATTTCATTAGAAAATGGAATATTGTAAAATTTCTCATACCAACTAGCCACTCTGAGTACAAGTTTTATGGCGCTGATTGCACTTGGTCGATTCGCATTTGCATGTCTGGAACCAATAATTCTTGATGAACATCATTCCTAGACGCAGCCACTATTGCTCGCGGGCATTACTTGCGTTTATACTGAAATCGTATGCGCACAAAACGATAGGTTTTTCTTGTCTCAATAGCATTTGTTTTATTTATTTCTTGCCTTTTTTTTCTCCTATTTTTTTTTGTATATTTTATGAAGTTACAATTAAACAAAAATCAAAACTCCCCACACACTTTTTGCGTCTACAGCAGCAACGCAACAACTCAACAGATTTAATATTTCACAGACGATTACCGATGGCGGGGTTTGTTAAGATTTGAAATCGAAACTGTTGAAAACGAAGCCAAAACCTAAAATAAAAATCTTGTATCTCAAATCATAATCGGACTAGAGAAAAAAACTATTGTATCTTCTTTATCTTTATAGAGTATCAACATGTAAAATATTTACAAAGCAGCTTGTTAAATGCTATACAACACGTACTACACAGAAATAATTTAAATTATTAATTCAGATATTGGTCTAGATGATTTTACTACTTTATGGTAATAAGTCAATTGGCTCAGTTTTTGTATGAATGCATATTTACACTTTCCATTTTTTCTAAATTGTTTTTTTTTTTTAACTAAGTTATTTATACCAAATTATTCTGCAGTATATTAGTTCCTGCAATTGTCTTGCAATAAAACTTACATATAGATCGTACAGTGTTATTTAAACTAAAATCATCTCTGGAACACAAGCATAATATGAAATACAGACTACTGAAGAGAATAGAATAATTAATTGTTAAATAAATATCTTATCATTATTACGCATATTAGACAAAGTGGACTATGAGATATATAGTGGTATTAGTGAAAAAATCTCCTAAAATCATCAATAGACACAGTGGACTATGAGATATATAGTGGTATTAGTAAAAAAATCTCCTAAAATCATCAATATTTTTTAGTGCAGAATCCCAGATTCCTCTCAACTCACGTAATCAAAACAGAAATAATTACAACAGTCGAACATTACAGTCTACAATTCACGAAGTCTGAGCTACAGATTTTGTTTTTGTTTGTTTTGCGACGCAGGAACTAACTCGCAGAAACTAAACTCATCCTCCTTATTCCTACAGACTTAATGATATCACGAGACTACTTAAGTATTACTTCGAGGTAGGATCCCTAGTAATCATTTAAGACTTCATTTAAGACCTGCATCTATCTCATTGCAGCTTCAAATGACTAACCTTGCACTTGGTCCAATACATCTACTTGCTGGCTTCTATCGAAATCAACTTTTTACAACCTCAAGATCTTTTTTTATCAAACATTGCTATGTGATCCCAGTTTATTTTGTTTTCGACCATTTTTCCTGTCACCGTTCGTGGGGAGAAGAGACAAACTTGCGCTGCTGCCATTTTCGTTCGGGTAGCCACTTATTATACTCAAAGAATATGTGTTTTGCGGTATCAGCCTCAGCTCCATAATACATATATGTAATACATATATACATTTGGTAAGAGTCTGCTGCATTTTACTATATCTTTAAAATGTGATAGTGAACACACACAAGCGCTGTTAAAAAAGGTGTTTAACATGGCTGTTAACAGAATATCAACGCATTTTATTGACATCTTTAAAAGGTGGTAGTTGACTGAAATATATCTGTCTCTTAAGTGTAAAAATATGTCTAATAATCACTAGCATATATATAATCAGATAATCACTAGCATGTTACTAGTGATTATCTGACTTCTAATCTATTGAAATCAAAAATCTTGTCATTTTATATATTGACTCATAAAAGATGTTTGTATTGCTTTTTACCTTCGGATATAGGGGTATCCTTTCAAGCTGTTTGTATTTGAAAGGTCTAATTACGGATAAGGTCTGATAAGCTATTGTGGTCTTATTACAAAAATCAATGCTCTATACTTCACAAGCTTGTCACCTATTTTGTTATCGTTGAATGCAACCTAGCTTGATATCCAGACAAATACTGCTTTTATACAGTAGCCAACTTAATATTGATACGTACTTTTGAATAAATTTATATTAAACATAAAAATAAAAAAAAATTAAAAATTAAATTGTTAAAACACTGATAAATTACAAAAAGTGCTGTAGTGAAGCATTTTATGCTTGCAAATATCTACCTATCTACATTAGGCGCTGACTTAGCTAAGTTTGGCTAATAAAATTGCTGTTTACATGTCCATTCGGTACTTTATTTTCTTCACGTACTGTACACACCCTAAGTCCAAAAAAATTTTGATATAAACATATTTACATGTATACTTAGTTGTCTGTAAATATTTATATATATTTATATATTAATAATGAAATTGACGCTAAATCAATGCGGTATAATGAATCATGCAAGTTCCTAAAATGTAACGTAAATGTTTTTTATTTTTTTATTATTTCACATCTTTTGCTGCGATAATGAAGATTACGACGAAAACGATGAGGTGTGTTGGCTTTAAAAATTTTATACCGCCTACATGTGAATTTTGTTTAGAGTAAAAATGACATTAAAAAAAACTCTAAAACGGATACTGCAAATTAAAATAATTTTGTGTAAATTATATGCAAGTGTTAAAGAAACAGCTTTTTGTATACGGTAAACAAAAGAAAAAAATTATAATAATAAAATTATAGACTTTATATCATTATATGACAAATATAATATTTATTTTTAATAATGTTATAACGTATGCCATATATGCAATTTCCGGTTAACTGCTCTATTGAGACACAATAATTTTATAACATTTTGCAAACCATAGGTTCAGCAAGAACTTATGGAAATATAAACTATTTTATTTAGAATTGGCTGCACTTGAAAAAGAGCTAATAAAACAAATGGGTGTTATTATTATTAGTAATTGCTGCATGAGTATTGCAACCAACTCTTAAGTCTTCTTAAAGAAATTCGAATTTATTACACAACTGAGCTGAACTCATCTGCGGTCTGAACTTTATAACCTATTTGTAATTCTGTTTAAAGAAATCAGAATTTATTATATATCTGCAATTATTTAAATTTGGAAATTACTGTTAAAAACATACTTTTGATATATTAATATTTTAAAGCCTGTAATCTAATCAATAAAATTTAATTTATAAAGTCCGAGCCAAAGGCTATCTAAGTTATAAGATTTTATATATTGTTATTAACTATAATAAAATAAGAAAAAATAAATAAAAGTAAATACATAAATTTGAAATAATTGCAAATGTTTTATAGTTATATACCACACGTTTGAGTGTATGGTTCGTCTCACAAAAGAACTGAGCAAGTTTTTAATCTTATATACCACTTAACGGTCGATATAATCATCTCATTGATTTTGTCTCCTGGGTACGGATTCTAGACTCCATTCAATGACTACCGTAGCTATGAACCACAGAGAAAGGAAGCAAGTGTTATTTATTTGCTCTGTTACTTCCTGGCTCCCACTAAAACGCGCATATCTACTCAGAACAGAACAGATGTTAAAAACATTGCCTATTTTATTAAACTAATAAAATGATTTGCTCTTCTGAAAAAAGAGCGTTTTTACCTTAGAAGAGTTAGTGTTTTAAGGATATAGTGGTAATACAATAGGTGCACTTTGAGCGGTCATTTTATGACACATTTACATTTATATTACTAATGACGAAAAATGCTTATAACATTAATTAAAAATTTTTGGAATTTTTTTTTTTTTTGTAAAGCTTAA